ATATATATGTTAGATTTATCATAAAATACAATTATCAACAAAAGGTAAAAGTCTTACCTGTTAATTCAATTTGTAATTTGCCAATGTCTTTAGCAATATTGAACTGGTCTTTTGCTCTTTGATACTCATAATAGTACAAAAATGTATATGCACATTCCAAATGGAATTGAACAGCCAGATATCGAGCTGAGTTATCCACAAATAGATTCTCTTGTTTCTTCACTACAAAAGAAAAAATGAAATACTAAAAATGGTGATCAAACTAAAAAGCAATGGAAACTTACAAGTGAATTCAGGGAAACTAGAGGGGACAACATCAACATGCAAAAATCACTGGTGCTTTTGTATACCAGCAATGAAATAGCCAAATGGAAACTACTTCACTTACAGTAGCATCAAAACAAATACCACTGGGACATATTGTGTTGTAGTTGACTTGACAGCCCATACTAAGAATACCACCACAAAATAAAGTTTATCTAAAGACATAAAGGACTTGTACGTGGAAAGTAATAAAGCATGGTTATTAGAAGTTAAAGATGCAAATAAATCTATGTTCACGGATTGGAAGACTTAATGTTAAGATGTCAACATTACTTAAAGCAACAAACAGATTTAACAGAATTCCTATTATAATTCTAATGGCCAGAAGCAAAGCAAGACAGCAAAGTATGGGGTTGTTCTCATCTACTCCTCCAGCAACTAACCCACTGAACGGTGATTATAAGTTAGCACAAGCACAGATTAACAATGTACAATTGCAGAAAAAGCTCAAGTGTTGGAAAGTCAGGATAAGAGCACACTTAGGGGACAGGAGGAAAAGGAATGGCACAGAATATGGGAACACCAACGCACTAACATCATGAGAGCCTGCTCATCACAATCATTTGACTAACATCCCAAACAAGGCACAGGGAAAAGGAGGTAATCTGAGAATGCTAAATCCTGATTTACTTTATGTGGGGCAAATTAGCCATGAGGACATGAAAGAGTGAAGAGAGAGAGTGATGATGAATCTCCCTGTGACCCAAGACAGATGAATACTAGAGGGAGAGCAAGAACAGATTGAAGTGTTTATATCCAGCTGGTTTTGTTAATGTTGGTATGTACCATCATAACCGACTCAAAGCTGATCCTCCAGTAGCTTTTTAGAGGAAGTAAACTGCATGGCCGAAAACTGCCCACTGTTCTGCCATGGAACAGCTGATGGATTCGAGCCATGTGCCTTTCGATTGGCAGCACAGTTCTTTACCACTAAGCTGCCACCCAAGTTCCCATACTATTAGTAGTAGGGCTGCAGAAGGCCACTATGGAAAACTCTCTGGTGTTACCTTAAAAAGCTGGAATCACCAATGAGGGAGTTTTGCTTTTCAAGGAGAGGAGCAAATGGGGGGGAGGGGGAAGGGGTTTGTGCGGGGAGAAGGGTGCAACAATGAATGAATGGAATCCCAAAATCTATGTAGATGTTCATTGAAATGAAAAATAAACAACCTAAATTAAAAAAAAAAAAGCTGGAATCAAAATTGCTATTTGATCTAGCAATTCTATTATGTGGTGTGTATATCCCTAAAAAATAAGCGCAGAGACACTAACAGATACACGCTCACTGCAGTGACATACACAATAGGAAAGAGATGAGAATAATAAAAGTGCTCATCAAAAGATGAATGAATGAGCAAACAATAATACATATACAGTGGGATACTATGCAATGCTGATGAATGTGAGAAAAATACTATAAAACAGAGGAACCTGGAAGACGTTGTTGTTGCTATATGCAATAAGGGAAGCATTATGTTAAGCAAAATGAGCCAAACACAAAAGGATAAATACTGTATTTGTACACTATTATAAAAAAGCTAAGGAAAAGTATACATGGAATGAAATATTGTTTGATGATCTGAACCTTGAGCTATCATGCACCATCCTCAAGATTTCCACCATGCTTAAGTGCACTACAGAAGTCACTGAATCAATCCAGCTTAAGAATCTTCCTCTCTTTCGAGAATCTTCTACCTTTCCTACTATGATTCCCCACCCCACCCCCCCCAGGACCATGCAAGATGAAGAGGAAATCCGGTTGCACTTCCTCCAAAGCAGATTTGTTTGCCCTTTTTAACAATCCAAGATACACTCAGGATTCTTCACTAGCATCACAATTCCAGACATCCATTCTTCTTCTATCATTCTTATTCATAGTCCAACTTTGAGATGCACAGGAGGCAGTTAAAAATATAATGGCTTGGCTCAGGCACACCTTGCTCTTTGCTGTTTAGTGTTTAAACAAGGTCTTTGACAGTAGATTTTTTCCCAATGCAACATTTCTTTTGATTTCTTAACTGCTGTTCTCATGGCCTAATGGCAAGAAGCTGCGCTACAATACCAAAGGCACAGGGTTCAAGGCCACCAGTTGATCCGTGGAAGAAAGATGGGCATCTCCTCCTGTGCAATCTTCTCAACTATGGGTTGGTTCCAACTCGACGGTACATAACAAGAGTGGGTTTTAAGCATGGATCCAAGTAAAATGAAATTCTTAACAACTTCTATTTTTTTATCCAGGTATCATAATGTTGTCTACTGGTCCAATGATAACGTTTTTTGTTTCTTGTTAGTGAGGTGTGGTTTATAAGGAAGGACATAATCTTTGATCTTCTGTAGAAAGTGTTTCAAGTATTCTTTACCTTATGCAAGCAAAGTTGTGTCATCCTTCACAAAGATAAGCCTTCCTCCATATTGTTGGTAAGAATGTAAAATGGTGCAATAAGCCTCTCTGATGACTGAGTGGTAAAAAACTGCACTGCTAATCCAGAGGCATGCAGCTTGACTCCACCAGCAACTCGAGTGAGAAAGCTGGGCAATAATAAATACAGCCTCTAAGGACCCACCGGAAGGTCAGCTATAAGTCAGTTCTGACTCAGTGGTACACAATACAACCACCCATGAAAAACCATTGGGTAATTTCTTAAAAAATTGAGAACAAATATCAGTCAATAATCCCACTAATTTTTAGAAATGTTGTTGTTATGTGCCATAAAGTCACCTGTGACTCACAGTGACCCTGTGTACAACAGCCCTAAACATTGCTCTATCCTGTGCCAATCGCACTGCCTCTGACACACCCATCCCGATTACCCCAGTCACGGAATCCATCCATCTCACCCAGGGTCTTCCTCTCTTGTGCTGTCCCTCTCCCTCTCCAAGCATTGGTCTCTTCTTGTAAAATGTCCAAAGTATGTCAGATGACGCTTCAGAATCCTTGTCTCCAAGGAGCAGCCTGGTCTCACCCTCGCTAGGGTGAACATGTTTGTTCTCCTATCAGTCCATGGTATGTTCAATACTCTTCTCTAGCACCAAAGCTCAAAGGCATCAATTCTTCTATCATCCCTAGTCATTGTCCAGCTTTCTGATGCATAGCAAGTAACTGCAAAGACCATGGCCTGGATCAGGTTCACCTTAGTCTCCATTCTGATGTCATTGCTCTCCAGTACTCTGGGGAGGTCCCTGACAGCCGATTTTCTCAGTGCAATTCATCTCTTGATTTCCTGGATGCTGGTACCAAGAGTGTTGACTGTGGAGCCAAGTAAACTAAAGCTGTTAACAATCTCAATCATGATGCTATCAATTGGCCCAGTGGTGAGAATCTTTGTTTTCTTTGTGTTGAGCTTCAATCCATATTGAAGGCTGCGGTCCTTGACCCTCTGCAGCGAGTGCTTCAGGTCCTCCTTTAATTTTGAGATATGATATTGTTGTTGTGGACCACAGAGTTGGAACCAACCCACAGCTCACCCTCCAGTGGGTTTTTTTTAAAAAAAAAAAACCGCCAAAAAAACACACATATATATGTTCACTCATGTTCACTGCAGCATTATTTACAATAGTAAAAGATAAAAACTACTCAAGTATCCCTCAAAGGATAAATGCCTAAAGAAACTATGGTACATGCATACAACTGAGAACTATGCAAAATATAATAAACACTGCACCATGTGCAATATCAGCCTTGCACTCTGGCTGCACTTTTCCAAGACCTATCTATTTGTTCTTTTGGCAGTCCATGGGATATTCAGTACTCTTCTCCTAAAACACAAATCAAAGGCATTAATTTTTCATCTGTTGTGCTTATTCATTCTCCAGCTGTCAGGCTTAACGAGTAATTAAAAACACTATAGCCTGAATCAGGCACACTTAGTCATCACTGACATCACTGCTCCTCAGTGATTAGAACAGGTCTTTGATAAAGGACTTTCTCGGTGCAGTATGTCTTCTGTTCTCCTAACTGCTGGTACCATGGGTGATGACTGCTGGTCCAACCAAGATGAAATCATTACCAACTTCAATATTTTATCTATTATGATGTTGCCTATTGGCCCAAGGGTGAGGAATATTGTTTTCTTGATGGTGAAATGTAATTCATACTGAAGGAAATAGTTCTTAATTTCTGCAGCAAGTATTTCAAGTCCTCACTTTCAGCAAGTATCACAGCAATGACAGTAAAAACTAAATAAAGCTCACAATTAAAAATTCAGCTATGGTTGCCTAGAGCTAAGAAGCTGAGCTGCAATCTCAAGGGCACACAGTTCGAATCCACCAGTTGCTCTGTGGAGAAGGATCAGCAATCTCCTATGTGGTTTACCCTCTCTGAAAACCTACTGAAGGGTCAGCTATAACTGAGATCCAATTCAACGGCACATGACAACATACAAGTATCAAACTGTAAGTAATTTGGAGCCAGTTGAGGACAAGGATATTTACATGGTCTCACAATATCTTACTACAAAATACCAATTATTTATAAAGGATAAATGAGTAATTTTATAATGAAGAAGACTGACAAATACCATTTTAATCAAATGTCAAAGCTATTATCACCAGTAAGACAAATTTTATGAGTGCCATATCAATTTGATAGTATACAATAAGACAAAAACAATATTTCTGTGATGGTCTCATCAAAATTAAAATTAAAAATAAAAATTAAAAATCTGAATTCAATCATGAGGAAATATTAAACATTATCAAAGTAATTAGTCTACATGATCAGTGTGATGAAAGTTAAGGAAAAACTAGGAGAGTACTCCAGACTGAAGGACTAAAGAGATATGACAATTAAACTCAATACCTGATTCTCTACTAGATTATTCTGCAAGCGAAAACATTTCTAAAAGAATTAGAAAAATGCCGGCGAGCTCTGGTGGCCTAGTGGCAAGAAGGTGCACTGTAATCCTGGAGGTGTGCGTTTCAAAT